ACGGATTATCAGTTGTTGTTTTTTTTTTAGTGTTTTGCTTCTTAATTTCTAGGAATAATTGACATTTAGTGGCTTGCTGAGTAAAGCACTGTTTTTTTTGTTTGTTTGTTTTATGAAATCTACAGTTTTGTGAAAGTGATCTTCTATTAAATTAAGTGTCCTTACAGTTCATTTTTTGTCTTTTGAGTTCTATGATGTTTTCAGAAGCACATGTTTTTACTTTTCGGGTAGTCAGTCACCAGCCCTTTCATTGTGGCTTCTAAATTTTAAACAGTAGCTATAAAGACATTCCCCATTTAAATTTACATATTATTAATCAACATTTCTCTTGTACTTCTGTATGTTTTTACATTTAAAATGATTATTTGAATTTAAATCAGAGAATGATGGAAGGCATATACAAGATGTATCTTTTTTCAGATAGCTATCTAGTTGATTATTGACAGTCCTTACATAATTTAATTTAATGATTTAGAGGGCCATTTTAGTATATGCCAAAACTTTCTGAATGACTTGGCTTTATTTTGGAACATTGTATATAGGTGTATTCCTTGACTATCAATGCAACAATGTCATGATTTTTTTGTTATTGAAGCTATACATTCATATCCGGCAGCACTGTTCCTCCATCATGCAGTATACATTACAGCATTGTGTATATTTAAACTCTTTTTTCAGATTGTGTAAGCATGTATCTATATTATACTAATATTTTTAAAATTMTCTATTTAAAACTTGAATGTTTTTGTTAATTTCAGTCTTATATATTTTRACTACTATTTACATGAAATCTTTTCTTTCTTTATATCATTTAGACTATTTGAGAAATATAATTCTTTTTTCATTTATATATTTATCGATTATCTTTATTTCTTTGTACTTGTTTTGAAACTTACTACTATATGCAATATGGGTGRAAATCTCTCAATTGCATTTGTTTTATAAAATAAAACTTATGTGTGTTGTACTGAGACTGAACTCATGGATGCTTTATCATTAAGATGAATCACAACTCTTTCATTTGTTTATTTTTATGGTACTATGGATTGAATCCAGGGTTGATTTACTTTACCAATGATCTATTTTACCCCTCCATCCCTTTATACTTTTTTTTATTTTGAGACAGCGTCTCACTAAGTTATTAAGGTTGATCTCAAATGTAGGATCCTCTAGCTTCAGCCTCTGAGTTTCTGGGATTGCAAGTACCATCACACCCAGCTAAAATATTTTTTTCTTCCTAAATTTTTATCTACAGCCCTAAAATCCTAAATGGAAGTATAGATAGTGGGCATTTGACAAAAATAAAGTTGAATTTGGAACAATATGGTGAGAAAAATGTTTTTTGAAGAAGATTGCTTTCAAGATACAGTATTTCATGCTCATATAATAATCACTATAAATTTACCAAAAGACTAYAATGAATACATTATAATTAATGTCTTACAAGCTCTTCTACAAAAAGTAGAATGAACTACTTAAAGGAAAAAAATAGAAGGAATAAATATTCATTTGAAACATCAATTCACAAATGCAAKAGTCACTATTTGTTTATGAAAACTGTCTACCAGTAGATATAACATGTTAGAAATGTATATATTTAATTTATATTAGTAAACTAATAATGATGTTCTTAACGATTGGTGTTCAGAGAATTTCTCTCTCTCATTTTTGCCATGATTTCATCTTTTTTAAGCATGATTCACATTGTCTTATTTCACTCCACAACTTATTATCCACTTTGTCAGTAGCTCTTTTTCTCAAACCTATTAATACATATAATTAACATAAATGATGACACTGAAAAGAAACAGTGCATGTCAGCTCTTTCTCAAGTCCTGCACTATAGACCAATTGTCCTTGAAGGGGCTTCTTCTAATTAATTACCATCCTTCTTTGTAGGGTAATCATATTGGTGAGAATTGATTGGGCGTRTAAGACACTTCATTTAGTTGGTAGAAAAATCCCTTAATTAAAATAATTTTACTGCTGGTAAAATTAATGCTCCCCRTGTAAACTCACCAGCTTGATTTTAAAGTTCCTCTTCAATTATATTTTATGAGAAACAAAATAAGATCTTAATGACAACAACCAGAAGAAATAAGAAAAAACCTTTCAGTGCATARGATGCATAATTCTATTTCCATATTTTTCATTTGTTGTTAATTCTCTTTTGTTTTAAAAACTTTACTATTAGAAACTGTGTTGCTGAATCCTAATGTTGACATTAAAAATGAGTTTGGCTTTACTAAAATATTTATTGACTGTTGATCTTTATTACACTGGTTTCTTTCCCTTACACAGCCCAAGTCATTTATATGCTCAGATGATAGTGTTATATAAGTCTTATTTTTGTGACAATCAGCTATATTCAGTAAGTTCTGACCATACTTTCATGAAGGGATAATGAWTAAATATAMTTAGATTACTTTGATGCTAATTGYTCAGCACTGATTCATCCTTAAGCAATTTGGACTTTATATTATACCTACCATGCTGTGAGAGATATATTTGTTATTGTACTGCCATTCACAAAATTGACTATATTTACTCAGAGATGATTTATCCAGGAGTGACTGGCTTTCTATTACTGCCCCCATTTTCCCTTAAAAAAATACACTCGTTATTACAGCATTTTAAATATGTTCCCCTTAGCACTTTTTAGTTCTCAAAAGATGTTTCTGTTTTAAAATAACCAGACACATGTAAGCATTATTTCTAGTTTGTGACAAAAGGAAATCAATTATGAAAATGATATAAGTATTGAAGTTCATGAACTAATGTGGTGTGTGACAGGAGATGGTGTTTCTCAATCTGCACATTAGAAGCATTTAGGAAGCCTGTAAAGGTCTTCTAGGTCCACCTCACTACAATCATCTTTGCTTGTTCTCTACTGCAAGGTCAACATCAATGTGTTTCATGAGCTCCTCAGAAGATGGCCGGGGTTRAAAACCATTGAACTAACATAATTTATAAATAGTCCTGAGACAAATGTGTCAATTTTTCTCTAACTTCATTTGTTGTTCTTGTTTGTTTGTTTTGCTTGATAGAGTCATTTGTAAAGTAGTATTCATAACACAGTCTCTGAAGTTCCTTTTAACACTAACATAGTATAATCAACAAGTCATTGCTCTCTTCTACCACTTCTGGTCTTGAGTGTGATTTGCTTAATGAACTGATAACTATTTCTGTCATTAGAGGTTGTTAACTCTACAGAATAGTATTTTATGAGCATGATGAAATAAATTATCATGTCCTCTTCTTAAAAGACTAATTGTTAGTTTACTTCAACACTGTTTAATGTAACAGTAATCTTATAAATGCAGYGGCTGTCAGTTAAATAAAATATGCTCTTAGTTAAGAACAGACACATCAACTCTACTAATTTGCTTATTGTTGATAAATTCTAATGCCAAAATATCAATGTCAGAGGAAATATTCTTGAAAGAATTAATTGAAGTACCATACAATTTGAAGAATGTGAATCAGATTTGCATCAGCTAAGTCAAATAGTATTAAAATGTAATCAAAGATAATTATGCTAATCAAAATAGACTCTAAGATAGGAATTGACAGTCTATAAAACAATTAAAATATATTTAATAAAATATGTGCTCAATGCTTTCACAAGATCTGACTAAGCCAGAAAATTAACTCTTATTGATACCTCCACCATTTGCTCACATTTACAATCTATGAAGAACTTCATTTATTTGAAGTTTCCATTGCCTGAGATTATAACTTCAACCAACTACTTATATTTTCCCCTTTCTGATTTATTTATCCATTTTATCATCCTTTTAAAAATGTCACACACTACAGTGATTTGTTACTACTCTTAGAATATTTACCTGACACTTTAATTCTAACATTTCCCTCCCCACACCTTAATTTACTCTTTTTCAGAGCCCCAGTTTTAAAAGGATTTCTCTTCTAATGAAGTGTTTTTACAAATAAGATTCCCTCAATCCAGAAGGCTCTCCTCCATWAATATTATGCCATAGTGTCCTCCATGCCTCTTTTTAATGGTCATTCTCTCTGAAAAGCTATTTTGATCTCTCAATTTTCCCAACTTGCTTTCTCAATTACCACCGTTTTTCTTTATTCAGCATATTTTTTTTTTGTGGGTTTTATTTTGTTTGTTTGTTTTGTTCTGTTTTTTTTTGTTTGTTTGTTTGTTTGTTGTTTGTTTCTTTTTGGTATCAGGGATTGAACTCAGGGGCATACAACCTCTGAGCCACATTCCCAGTTCTATTTTGTATTTTATTTAGAAACAGGGTCTCACTGAATTGCTTAGCACCTCCCTTTTACTGAAGTTGGCTTTGAACTCGATTCACTTGCCTTAGCTACYAAATAGCTGGGATTACAGGCATGTGCCATCAGCCTAGCTTGGTTTTCTTTTTAAAAAGCTTTCACAGAAGGCTATTTGTTCCCCCAAAGAACATTTTATTTAAAATATAACTGTATATTTATCACTGTGCATACTTGTCCATAATCTTCCTCAATCAAAGGGATCCATGAGAAGAGAGAGCAGCTCTGATTTTATTGGTATTTTGTACCAAGCTGAATTCAATGGTGGTAGTTGTGTTCAGCATGTTTSTTAAAGGAACAAATCACAATAAAAGACAATTAATTTCATTTTGCTTTGTGTTGTATTTTGAGATGTAAAATTATCTGAAGGATCAAAAAAGTATTTATTATGTAGTAATTTTTGAGTGACCTAGGTAAGTTAATTTTTTTTTAAATAAACTAATTACTGCCAGGTGCTGTGGAGCACACCTGTAATCCCAGMAGCTCAGGAGGCTGAGGCAGKTGGATCAGGAGTTCAAAGCCAGCCTCAGCAAAAGGGAGACACTAAGCAATTCAGTGAGACCCTATCTCTAAATAAAATATAAAATAGGGCTGCGGATGTGGCTGAGTGATTGAATGCCCTTTAGTTTAATCCAGGGTACCAAATTTAATTGATTAATTAATTAATTACCCTTTGATCCAAATCACYACACATATTCAAATTGAGAAAAAAGTTGTTTTTGCAAATATCATGGTAGGTAGCTCCACAGTAGCAGGGGTACTGATGAATTAAGTGAATTTCTTCAAAAAACCCAGAGGGATTTTTTTTGTTTACCTTGGAATGCATATATACTGACAAAAAGAAATAATAAAAAATGAGAAATACCTCATTATATATACTGATATATATTTAAATAATATATACATTATATATATAAATATATACATATTATATAAATTATATATGCAATATATAATTTATATATATAATATATAGACATTATATAAATTTTTAAGCCATTTGGTTTAAAAAAATTTATGGAGCACACCTTTTATACCTTTGTTCACTTATTACTCATTTTTATTTTCTTCTCTTTCTATAYGGTCTGCTAMGATGTTCAYGTTCAAAATTACTATGCACAATTGTTTTGGCTTTAACCAACAGCATTCTTTGTGTTTCTGTGTGGGAGTCCATAATGTTATTTTTCTCATGAGTTAAATATAACAATTGTGTGAATTAATGAGCACTTCAATTAAAATACAAGTGACTAAATAGGATTAACAAAATGAAATGTCAGACTATTGTTCAAATTATTCTTTATTATTTGAAAATATTTTAAGTTTAATGAAGAAATATTTCCTAATAATATGTTTTGTTTATTATAATCTCCAACATTTTCACATACAGATCCTATGTAGTTATACCTACAACTATATTAATTAAATATAAATCACCTTTTAARTCACACTGAAGTCATCACTAAAGTTTTAATACATGTGATTTTACTTAAACCTTAGAAAAATATGATCATTAAAAATTTTAATTCTGGAGACAGACTAGGACAATGAATTCTATTTAGAGCATRCCTTATGATCATTGTTAATTTTCCAAGGCTCCGGTGAATAAACTCTCCCTTTATTTAGCAGGAGAAAGTATAACTCATTCATGGAACACAAGGAATCATTAACACAGGACAATCCCTTCAATGCCCTTGCTATGCTAAGTAAATTTTTCTCTGATTTTTTCAAGTCATGATTGCTTTCTACCTAGATTCATAATCTTAATTTCCTAATGACATAATAAAGGATGATTCAAAGTATAAGTCTCTATATTACATAATAAGTGACCATGTAACTAACTGGAATCACACTGAAAGTAAGAAATAATCTGAAAAATAGTTTTCATTTAATTATAATAAATGAATATTAAGAGAATATGATTCTGTGATATATTTCAAAATCTTAGGATCACTTAAAACTTCAACCCATCTCTTTTWACTAAGATATATCAAACTCTATGCTTAGAATTAACCTGTCTTCACTGTCAAGAAACACTGCCTTTATTGCTTTTGTAGTTGTCATTGTGATGGAAGAAATAAAAGCTTAATACATTCTAAATYTATGACTGTACAAAATAAATTTTAGGGAAGTAAGGTGTTATTCATATTGATAGGATCCYATAGAGTCATCTATTCATTTCAAACAAAGCAGAACAAAACAAATACTAAACTTAAAATAAGTCATTTCTTAGGTGTTTTACTTTCTATTTGCTGTTGTTTATTCATTTTTAAGCTAAGAATAATAGAGGMAGCTGGATGAGATATGCAATTTCCATCTCTGCCTGTCAAACTCAGAGATCATAAAACCATTCAAACATAAGATTTCAATTCTCCTGTAATAACTTTGAAGGAGAGAGTCTAGATAGATAGATAGACAGACAGGCAGACATACTGATAGAGCAAACACCCATTAATGACAGATGTGGAGCAAATTGATAGAAGAAACATGGATTTCCAAACACAGAGATACTCTGGGCACTCTTCCTGTTGATCAGAATGTAACCTGCAGACCTCAACTTTTCTGAATTAAAAAAAAAAAAAAAAACAAGGTACCCCAGCAAAGATTCCAGTTGTCAGAATGATTATGTTGTGGTTAGACCCTTGTATCCTATGTGAGTATATAGTGAAACTATTGTGATTTTGAATGAAGTGTGGGTTTATAGGGAGGTATTTGTGAGGAAAATTGGAGCCTTTGCTATTTTTCTTAAATCACTGAAACATGAATACATTTTCTTCAATCATAAAAATTTCCAGGCACTTAGGGGCTATTTGTTTTATTGGACCATATATAAAGGTTAGGAGTCTTGTGATATACATTTTGCCTCTATTTCTGAMATCTCATTCATAACTTGTATTTTTGTATAATTCACATATACATGCATACAAACATGCATTTTGCTGTAATAGCAAGAAAAGAGATATGTAGTACATTCTTTAAGGCAAGTTAATTTAATATGAATGACACATTATAATTAGAAAAGTAGAAGCTTTTGAATGAATAAACTACCAGACATTAAAAGAGGAAACATGAAAGCATTCTACATTTTCTTATTGATTCACTTTATTTTACTGGATTCATTTTATTTTATTGAGAAAAACACTACKTTTCCATATGATATTCCTAAGGGAAAATATCATATTTCCATGTGATATTCCTAAGGGAAATATGTCATATGGTGTAGGATATTAAACAATTGGTAATACTTCAATAATATAGCTGTAGAAAACTATTTATGAAATTTACCACGAATTCATAAAGTRTTCTCTTTGTAGTGCTGCATTATTCAAGTAAGATGCTAAGAAAATAAATCAACTCTTTTTTCTTTGAGTATGAATTTTGAAAATGCTGCTATTGTTCAAAAAAGTAATCATTCTGAATTCATATGTAAATGGTGGTTAATTTAATAAGCRTTGCCTATTAAAACTCTATTTTCTTGGTTCTTATAATATTAAATAAAAAGATAATTTAATGATTCAAGGTCATTCACATTACTAAATAAGTGTCTTTGCTTAATTCAGTTTTCTCAAATTGGCCTCTTTTTTATATTGTAGTTAATTTACAATAGAATGATGGTCTGTCAATATCTAAATTTCCTCAGTGATCTTACTTAGGTAATGTAATAATATAAATCATTCTCCATAAATTTTGTTTGCTCACAAATRTTTTGCATGGAAGTGCTCACTTAATTTGATTTTTTTTAAAGAGAGAAAGAGAGAGAAGAGAGAGTTTTTTTTAATATTTATTTTTCAGTTTTTCCGTGGACACAACATCTTTATTTTGTTTTATGTGGTGCTGAGGATCGAACCCAGCACCCTGCGCATGCCAGGCGAGCGCGCTACCGCTTGAGCCACATCCTCAGCCCTTAATTTGATTTTTTAATCTCCTCAAATTAATAATTTGAATTGGTGCCTTAAAATAATACTTATTTATACTACTATTTCCCATTAAATTTCCACAAAATTTTTACAAGATAATCTCCTGTGGTTTGGGAATGCACTTTAGAATTTTTAAATTTCAACKTTTAGCTCTGAAATAGAACTATGACTATAAAAAATAAATTCACCTTTTTTGGTAGAGTAAAACTGGGATGATTAACTTGACTTGTTTCCTGGGACATTCCTTTTGTCTTTCCTACAGGAAAATTTAGATGGTTGATGGCTATAAATAGATTATCTACTCAAAGTATTATCATGAAATGAGGAATGAAAGAGGATGAGGAGCAGAGCTGCAATTGATATGGGAGGGGAGGGAGAAATGAATTTTTGTTCTCTGAGGATTCTGAAGTGTGTGTGGGCTGGGGCAAGGCATTTAGTTACCATAGCATAAACTAACCGAACATACTTGTTAAGGCTGTCCATCTATACTATATGGGAATGAATTCACTTGCTCAGGACAATTTCATATTTGAAATATGTATCATATTWGTTAAATTACACTTTTTCCTACAAAATACATAAGATATATTCTTGCAAGGAAATAAAAATCACATGGATTACAGCAAATAGTAGGTGTTTATTAAATTGCTAATAAAAATATACATGGCATATAGCAGTGCACTAATTCTTCTGTCCTCAACTTCTCAGTTTATGTATATAACTTGTAAAGAGAAATCATTTCAATTCAGCATTTGCCCTATTTCTTTTGATAGTGAGTGGCATGCCAGGGGGTGGTATAAACTGATATGCATATGGAAGTGAGCATCTATCTTATTGTTGGCAGGAAACTAATTAACTGGCACATATTAAGAAAAAAACTAAACTTGAACTGACTTTGAACCTCAATAAGCTTAAAAGAAGCATAATTTGGTAAGCAAACAGTGAAATTACGACAATGATGAAATAGATTCACAATGACAGWGAAAAGAAGCAAAAGAATTAAGAAAAATCACCATAAAAGGAAAAGCAATCTGTTTCTTGTATCCATTTCAGTTTATGTTACATCAGCAAACAGCAGATTTTTTCATTAGCAAACTTTTGTGATTTTTATTTGGTAGACATGATACATATTCATAAAAAATTTATAACCTTATCCAACTGKTTTATCATATTATGTACCAAATATATTCAATGTCATTTTCCTGAAGGCTTTTCTTTTTGTAAAGGAAAACTGAATTTGACTGATAGTCTGAAGAGGATTTTAAAGCAATGTTAGATGTTAATCTCTTATTTTAAAAGCCACCTTTCTTAGGCAAGGTAATCATTTCTTTTAGTAATTCTGCCTTTCATGATATATTAAGCATTGTGTAATTTTCTCTTTTAAAGAAACTATATCACARAATTATGGCTTATACAGAACACAGCAACATCAACATTCCCTGGTGATCCTATTTATGTTAATTTGAGGAGTTTACTGGTTTTAAAAAACTGTGTAGAAGAAAGATCTTTATTTCTTTAATGAGATGCTAATGGTAGAAGAATCTCACTTCTCCTCTCTCCTGTTAGTGACCATGTTAACATATATATAATCTCATCATTACTCAAGTAAATTCAAAAGTATTATCTCATTTTGTGTGTGTTTGTTTGTTTTATTTTGTTMCTGGGGATTGAACCCAGGTGTGCTTAACCTCTGAGCCACATCCCCAGCCCTCTTTATTTTTCTTTTGAGAGAGGGTGTCTCTAAATTGCTTAAGGCCTCCCTAAATTGCTGAGGCTGGCCTACCACTTGCAATCCTCCTGACTCAGCCTCCCAAATTGCTAGGATTAAAGGCATGTACCACCATGCCTGGTTCATTAGAATTTTTWAAAATTTGAATGCCTAAATAATTAATGTATTTCA